TTTTTTAAAAGATTTTATTTATTTATTTATTTATTTATTTATTTATTTATTTATTTATTTATCAGAGGGAGAGAGAGAGCACAAGCATGGAGGAGGGGCAGAGGCAGAGGGAGAAGCAGACTCCCCGCTGAGCAGGGAGCCCAGTGCGGGGCTCGATCCCAGGACCCTGAGATCATGAGCCAAAGGCAAACGCTTAACCGACTGAGCCACCCAGGTGCCCCTAAAGAGGGAATTCAAATTGAATAATAACTCTGATTAGATGAAGTTCGCTGCCTAGAGTCATTGTCAGGAAAGTCATACAAAGATGTCTCGTGCAGAGGACTTGCTCAGTAAATGTCAGTCCTCCCTATTTTTAATTTTTGCAAATTATTAATAGTGTGATGCCTGATTGTGACAACCTGCCGTTTTTTTATCCAGAAGGATCAGCGAACTGACGGGTAGAAGACACACATAACAAAGGCCGGCATGTGCTCTGTAGCAATAGAAAATGACAGCTTCCTCCGTTTTAAAGAAAACTGCTTGAGTTTTTAAAATGAGGTTGTTGTTCATTGTCAGGACAAATGTGTCTGCAGGAAGAAGCAATGGTGTGCCTACTCAAAGCCCTTCCTTAAAGCTATCTTAGATTTAGCCCCCAGGAAGTAGCGGGTAAATGTAATCACACTAGCCTCCTGACATTGTGTTGCCTGTGAAAGTAATGGAAAATAGAGAAAAATTTTAAAAAATTACCTATTGGCTTACCAGCATAATATGAATAAAAATTTTATTTCGTTTGGTGCATTTCCTTTCACTTTTTACAATTTCATAAGTTTTTTTACCCCACAAGGTTGTAATTATGCTGGATATACAGATCAGTTTCTCAATATGTATATGGTTACTATTACCTTAAAAGCATTTCCTATAGCACGTTGTGGTTAATGACTTATTCTCTAAGAGTTCTTATAACTCCAGTAGTTAACTGTGGATATTCTTGCCAAGTTGATAACTTGGCTGAAAGTCACCGGTGGTGATGTTTATGCATTGGACATAAGATATGAAGCATGGTCAGCCCCGAAGTGAGGGTGCTGTTGATTGGGACGACGGTATGCAGAGCTGGTTTGTAGGTGCAACAGATGTTACTTGGCTAGAAACCATAGAACAGCTGTTTTCCTTGTGGTCACCTGGGTAAAAATGGCAAAAGTCTAGCAACCAGTCTTTAAACATGGCTTTATAAAAATATTGTTGAATTGAATTTGTTGGACAGTCTGCTTCATTCCATTTGAAATAGATTTTTGTGAAGTACACTGTAGTCGAGGCCCCTTGGGCTAAATAATCTTAAAATTTTGGTAGACTTTGTAGGGAATAAAACTGGCTTGATATTTATTTTATTTAACAAATTCTTGTACAACCTCTACTATGTACCATGCTCTTCTCTAAATTCTTTATACATATTAACTCTTTTATTTAGCCAGATTTCCTGATCGTATGTGATGTTTCTTTAAGTAGAAGCATTAAAATTTAGAGGGCCTAATGTCGTGAAGACTAGACATTCTAATCAATATGTTTCTGAAAGTAGGATGAAGAATAACATTATCACTTGCCTTCTTGAAATTAAAAAAAAAAAAAGAAAAGAAACAAGTTAAAAAAAAAATCCAGCAACTCTATGTCATAAATATTCTGGAGGAGTCCCTATTTCAAGTGTTTGGACCTGCTTACAGATCGTGTTATCCGATTCAGGAAAATAAGGTCACATTCATTAAAATAATGCAGTTGCCACTATTCTTTTTTTTCAAGGTTCTAGACACTCAGATTGGAAGGGAGTGTGGATGGCTGAAATGTCAGCTGGTGATAATCACTTGTCTTCAGGGAGGACCCCACTTAGGCCGGCACTGCTCACTGTTTAGGAACATGAAACCTCTGTCCTGTTTTGAAGTATTTTGAAATAAACTTCACTTGCTCTTTTCTGAGCTCGACCCTGAACCTGTGGTTAGAATATAATTTGTGTCCGACTTTATGCTAACATTTAGCCCATACCTACGTGTTTAAGCCTCAGTGAAATAGGGACAAACAGCTTCCCTTGTTGGGATAACATTTAACGTGCATGGAGACTGTGATTTAATTTGTTCCTAGCCTCTTCTTACCTGCATGGCCCACAGTTGAGGGGGAAAAAGGCATTACAGGTAATGAGGAGAGGGTAACGCAAGCGATGGTGGGTTCAAATCTTATTTCTTCCCTTTCTTTCAGGTGGACAGTGCAAAGCCTTTTGGTGAGAATATTTCAGAGTATCAGTCCCGGAAGTCGAGAAGAAAACTTAAGTTTTCAAACTTGCCTTTTCCGGGGAGAAGAGGTACTCGAGTTTCTCGTTACCCCCTGTACATTCCCCAGTGGGAACGAATGCATCCTTCTAAATCTTCTTTCATTCTGGGGCATCCTGAGTTTCTCTGGAAACCAGAGGCCTAATTCTCAAGTAGCGTCCAGCTGTGGAGTTTGCAGGGTGGGAGCTCCCCCAGAGCAGAGCCAGATGAGAAGCTGTCCCTTGCCCAGTTTCCCTAACCATTGAAGGAGTGTGCTCTGAGTAAAGCTACCACCCATGTGCTCTGCTGCAGGTGCACCCTGGCTGGGCTGGACACGCAGGGGGCAGCTTGTCCTGGTGTGAACGCCCTCAGGGAACACTGAGAGCTCACAGATGAGGCTTGCCATTTCTCTAGACGGGAAAGAGTGGGAGCTTGGTGGAGATCAGGAGGTGTAACATTTGCTTTACAAGATTCCGGGTCAGGGAGGAGAGGAGCCAACGCTCCCTGAAGGGAGATTCAGTGTGGCTAAGGCAGGGAATCCCAACCGTGGAGGCGTCAGGACCCTTTTGCGTTCTTAAATATTACTGAGGACCCCAGAGCACTTTTGTTTATGTGGATGAGATCTATTAATATTTAGCATATTAGAAATGGAAGCTGAGAACTTTGTAAAATACGGGAGTACACAAGCACACATTCTGTTAGCCATTCCAAGTGGTGATGTCATGACACATCATGCAGCTTTTGGAAAATTCCATTGTATGGTTGTGAGATAATGAGAAAAAGAGAATTCATGTCTTAGTGTTATTAGAAGAGTCTTCACCTTGCAGATCTCCTGAAAGTTCTTGGTGACCCTGGGGAGATCCCTGGGCGCACCATATGTTGAGAGTCACTGAGTTAATGCATCCCTTGGTGGCATTGACCTTATGATTGAACCCCCTGCACCATGTCAGCTCTGAAGGTCATGGCAGTGAAGTTCATCCATTCCTGAACTTGATCAAAATGCTGGCCCATTTTCTTGACTCCTGGTGGAACTGGACCTAGACCATCCCTGACAACAGGTTCCCTATGTTAGGCTTAAAGTCTTGTACTTTTAAGGGGCTGCACGGTCTCTTTTGGTAACTCAGACCAGTGCTCTTGGTTATGGTGACTGTTAGTAGCCAACTAAGGACAGAGTGCAGGTTTGAAGCAGAAAGTGCTTTATCACCTCTGACATTTAATTTAAGTCCTTTGGGTTAAAAATCACCCACGTAGCCTATAAAAGTACTGCCTTCCCTATTACGGTGAAATCAAGCAATGGCAAATGTCCTTTCCGGGGATGACACATCGGGCTTAATGCTGGCTCGGTTACGATGAGACTCTCATGCATCACATTGGTCTCAGCCTCTTTGTCTTTTCTTAATCCGGGCAGGTGGAGAAGTGAGGCTCCAGAGAGCTTACAGAGTGTGCACTGGTCACACTCCCAGTTTTTGGCATACCTACATTTAGAGAAGACATTCAGACCTCTGGTTTCTCAGATCCCTGGAGTCCCCGTAGCTTCCAAGCCAGACCTTTGCTTAGGTCACCTGTCAGTTCATTCATCCAGGCCTAAGGTAGAATAAAACAGTGCTTCTCAAACTTGAATGTGCATTTGAATCACCTGGGGATCTTGTTCGGCTGTAGATTCGGATTCAGCAGGGCTGGGGTGGGGCCTGGGAGCCCTCTTTTCTGACAAGCTTCCAGGTGATGACGTGGCTCGTCCATGGACTGCACTTTGAGAAGCAAGAGAACAAGGGCTAGCCCCCTGTGAAAGGGAGTGCTGTGTACGGTGGCGAGGGGGTTTCTAGGCAACGGGCCGGTTTGTGGTTATAGCTGAAGAGGGCCTTAGCATTGCCAGCGCCCTGCTCAGCTGGGCGTTGGGAAGAAGACAGCTTCTGGGACAAGACACAGACACACACGCACACACACACACGTGCATGCCTGGAGGATGCGATGAGTGCCAGGCTTTAAAAAAGCCCTTTCCGTATCTTCCTTCTTACTGCCAGTGGCATGGGGGAATCAGCAATCCATGAAAAGCCCCTTGTCACTGCCTAAGCCCCAAGCATAGAGGGGGCAGGCACGGTGGCCTCCGCATAACCTTGCGAAAACTCATTCCAGAAGCATTATTTTTTTTCCGAATTTGGAAAAACCCAATTTAATCTTGATTTTGCCTGTGTGTGTTTATCGCTTCACTTCCTGATCATTCTTACCACTCTCTGGCTTTAGGTCTACTTACTTATGATCGTTTAGGGTACTCATCATGATGTGCACTTTTCCTGCATTATGCTCTCCCCAGCTCTTCTCTGTTCATGGTCTCCACCTAACATGTGTCTCTATCTTGGACAAGTAGGCTCGAGATTTCCTGCCTAAATAGGAACCCATGTAAAGCAGATAGAAAGGGAATGGCAGAAGAGGCAGAGTGGGTGAATTTTGTTTCTATGAGAGCCACGCGGTTTTCTTTCAGGCTCTGGGCACCTGGGCCAGTATGAGTTTTGTTTTCCAGGCTGTGTGAGGATTACCGAATTTATGGCTTCCCTTAAACTCTCCTTTGCCCTTCCCATGTCCCTGTGTGCTGTCATTAATAATGTAACTTCACTGGGCCTCAAGAGGACAGAAACACTCCTAGATAGGATCGCTGTGACTCAAGGGACTTGTAAGAGTTGACAGTGTAACTTACGAGGGAGCATTTAAGTTCTTTAATAATTCATCCCTGTGTAATATTTCTGTGCTCTGTGGAACAAATGTAACAGTGGTTTTAGGGGTAATTTGTAGTAATGAGTCACTGAAACACCTCTTCCTCTTTCTTCTAGCTTCTTCTCTTGACAGCCTTGCCGCTAACGTAAAGGTAATTGTAGAAGTAGTATTTGTAAAATGATTTATTTTCAGCTTCTAGTGCTGGTTATTGTGCATTCCCCAACGGGTGGTGGAAAGTATATTTCTAGCAAGTGCTGCTTATGGAAATGGAGTTGCTGTAGGTTCACCAGAGTTTGAGAGATGCCCAGGCTCCGCTGAATGCTTTGCATTAGTTGGTTTGTTTCCCCTCACTTAAGCTCTTTCCATCTGTAGAATGAATCCCCCATGTATATAGCCCCAGCACCTACTTTATGAGTAGGTATTCTTATTGCTTTTTTTCCTAAACGAATACTTCCATAATACATAGAGGTGGTAAACCACTTGCTCTTGAAGTTTGATTGGTTTGTCAAGGTGAAGGCTCAAACTTCTATGTTACAACATGAAAATAGATATAGGCAAAGAAATGGAGTATACGGTGCTTTTTATGCCGTGGCATTTAAATAGTTTATTTTAAAAAATTATATCTTTGCCAAACCGGATAATCCCTTATGCTCACAAATCAAAGCTCAGAGCATGAGTTTATTTTGGCTTGTTAATATATGCCAAATGTGCAGAATTTTGCTTATCTTTCCTTGACCTTGAGCTTCTGAGCATTTTGTCTCAGCAGGACAAAAGCGGGAGCTTCCCTGGGGGGCAGGCTTTCTATCAGCTTGTCCCCTTCCTCATCCCACCCACCCCCTACGCTCTAAATTCAGCATACGAAAACAAAATCACAACTAAAGAATAATGCACATTGTCACTTAGGTCATCAAAGAGCCAGATGAACGGATTGTTTTAAGGAAAGAATCATCATCACCTTTAGATTCCAGTAAGTTCGGAAAACCCTCGCCCATTTACAGTAACCAAGGGGATGCCGATTTCCATGGGGAAGCTTCGTATGCTGCCTCCCAGCATTCCAGATCTCCCAGCCCTCTTCTGGATCAGCCCCTTCTCTGCGACGAAAGGTCAGCGGCAAGCCCCCATTTATTTGCTTGAAGAGTGTGATGTGGTCTAGCAGGAGGAAATCCTGGTCACTTCATCCCTTTGCTTCCTTAGGGATATTCAGCTGGGGATATGAAAAATCACTGTTCGTTTTTAAATCTTCCTGGAAGGAAGAGTTGAGCCTTTTCTCTTGCCTGTGGAAAGCGTATCTCAGAATGTTTGTTGAAAGTGGGACAATCAGCTCACTTGGCATAGATGCTATTTATCTATCCATTTTGTCTTTCATAAAAAACAAATGGAGTGAAAAAGAAATCACCCATAGTCCTGCCACCCAAAGCCAAAGATTATTAACATGTAGGTGTATTTTCTCTTTTTCTAGACATGTTTTCTTGGTTTCTTGGTCGCCTTAACTCCAGGAGAATGGCACTGAAGATAATATTTTTAAGATAGTTGTTAAAAATGGATAGTTGACATACTAGTTTCAGGCATACAACATAATGATTCAATATTTGTGTATATTGCAAAATGATCATCACAGTAAATCCAGTTTACATCAGGTCACCATGCATAGCTACAGAAATTTTTTTCTTGTGATGAGAACTCTTAAGATTTATTCTCTCAGCAGCTTTTAAATGTGCATTATGGTGTTAACCGTAGTCTCCATGCTGCCCATTATGTCCCCGTTATTTCTTTTATAATAGGAAGCTTGTACACTTTGACTCCCCTCACCCCCTGAGTCTGGCAACCACCAGTCTGGTCTCTGTATCTGTGAGCTTGTTCGTTTGTGTTCTTCCTTAGGTTCCGCATATAAGTGAGATCATATGGTTTTTGTCTTCCTTAAGACAGTTGTTCTGAATGAAGGATATGCCAGTCTGCTCTTCTCTGCACTGTTAGTGATGAGAATAAGAGAAAACCCCATGTCAGAGTGACGTGATTGCTCACAAAGGGACTAGGTAGTAAATATCCCAGAATGAAAGTCAGAATGCAATGAAAGCCCTGCAGTTTTAATACAAATTATATTAAGTTTGACTAAGACTAAGAAAGTGGCAGTGAATTCTTAGTGTTTTGTAGAAATGATAGAATACCTTTATATTAAAATGTTGTATCATGGACTTGAGGAAACCAAATCAAATATTTTAGTAAAATCTATTAAAGAATGGAGATTATATAAAGAAAGATTATATAAAGAATCCTGATTAGTTACTTTTTTAGAGGAAAATAACATGAAATAGATTTTTAAAAATCAGCCCTGTCAATCTGAGTCGGGAGGTTAAAGACATTTACATCCCTCTCTCTACCTGGTCTTCATCTCCTCCTGGCTTATCCTCTGGATGTAAAGATTTTAAACAGAGACGGGAAAGGACCTTCAGCTGGAGGTAGTCAGGGGACTTGGGCTCTAGTGCTCATCTGTCTCTAACTACTCTGTGATCTCACAGAAATACTCAGCCTTGTGGACCTTAGTCTCCCCATCTGTAAAATGGGTGTGATGATCAAATAGCCATTCTCTTACAGGTACAAAATGGTTCTCTGCTGCCAGAAGCAGAGATAGCTCGTGGCTTTTGTCCACGTGCCTTGTTTTTATACATCACCCAAACTCCTCCTTATAATCAGCCTAGCGAGCATTTCTGAGGGACTGAATTGGGGCTGCGTCTCTCGAGCACCTATTAGGTGGAATGTGCATGGTCATGACGCGTCCCAGCTTGCCAGAGGTTCGCGCACTAGACCGGGAGGCTGGCACACCCTCGTGCCACTGAATGTGAGGCAGCTGGTGAGATGCAGTTCACAGGAGTACGGTCCAAAAGTGGGTGAGAGACAGAGCAGGAGGTGGGGCCCTTCCTCAAGAGGGAGATCAAAGAAGGCCTCATTTTTTTTTCTAAAATAAATTTCTGCGACGGCTTACGCATTCATTCGGCCAGCCTTTCTTGAGTGTCTTTATGCAGCCGGCCAGTGATTCTCAGCTGTGGCCCACTAAGGACTCGCCTGCTATCCACTGAGTCAGAATCCCTGGGGTTGGAACTGGGTGTGTGGTGGGCGTGTAACATCTCTGTGGGTAGAAGAGTGCCTCGGAGGAGAACAGGATTGATAGCCAGGCCGCTAGCCTGGAATGGAAACCCTAACATTGAAGGCATTTCTCCTGATCTCTGGGAACTTGCAACTTAGCAGAGGATGTAAAAACATGTGCATAGAGAGCTTTCTACCAGGCGGAACTTTGAGAATAGTATGGACCAAATGTTATCAGAGTAGAAAGGAGGAGGAAGGAAGGCACTTCTGGAATGCATCATGGAGGAGGTGGTATTTCCATGTGGGCCTTGAGGGATGCGGATTGGATTTTGATAGAGTTAATGGAGGGGAGGGATGGGAGGTGAGAAGGCACGGGGCACTGGCAGCTTCTAGAAGTTGGACCAGCTTGGGGGAATAGTGAGTGCCAAGGCTGAGGGTCTGAGGGACTGTGGAAGCCAAGCTAAGGAGTTTGGGTTTTGTTGGAAGGCAGTGGGGAGCTTTTGCAAGTTCATTCTCAGGAGTTAGCACATTTGACTGGAGGATGGTAACTCTGGCTGCAGAGCAGATTTGTATCCTCTACCTCTGATGAATCAGCAAATTCTGCGTGCCCAAAGTCACTCTAAATGGAGAGCTTTGGAACTAATTTGACCATGAATTTGTAAATAAGGCCATGATCAACTGTGACAAGGGAAAACACAGTCACGGAAAGGCCATCTGGCTTGCCCAGGACTGTCCAGTGTTTATCGTACATTAACTAAAGAGAATGATTGTATCCACATTGCTAAAATTCTTTAGGAATCTTTGGAAAATGGTATTTGTGTTTTTCATAATCAAATGGCCAATTCTGTCTCAGAGTTTAGGCCTTGGTACCCACTCCCCTCCCAAAGATGAATGAATGAAGGGATGAATCCAGTCACTCAAGAAATTGGGGCGCCTGGGTGGCTCAGTTGGTTA